CCTCCTTTAGACCTCCTTTAGTCCTCCTTTAGACCTCCTTTAGTCCTTTAGACCTCCTTTAGTCCTCTTTAAAGAGCTCCTTTAGACCTCATTTAGTCCTCCTTTAGTTCTCCTTTAGACCTCCTTTAGTCCTCTTTAAAGAGCTCCTTTAGACCTCATTTAGTCCTCTTTAAAGAGCTCCTTTAGACCTCCTTTAGTCCTCCTTTAGACCTCCTTTAGACTTCCTTTAGTCCTCTTTAAAGAGCTCCTTTAGACCTCCTTTAGCCCTCCTTTCGACCTCTTTTAGTCCTCCTTTAGACCTCCTTTAGTGCTCCTTTAGACCTCCTTTAGTCCTCCTTTAGTCCTCCTTTAGACCTCCTTTAGATCTCCTTTAGACCTCCTTTAGTCCTCCTTTAGACCTCCTTTAGTCCTCCTCTAGACCTCCTTTAGAGCTCCTTTAGTCTAAAGTCCAGTTAGATAAGGAAAGGTTTATCGATCGGAAACTCAAATAAATTGGAAAACTTCTTCAACTGGCAGTTGTCCACAGAGTAACTCTACAAAAGATAAAACAGCAAGTTTAAGGCCAGAAATGCACAAACTCAAATAGCCAGAACTATTGAAACATCATGGATAGTTTCACTGAAACAATATATAATATAATATATAATATTTACCATATAATAATTATTATTATAGTTATTAATATTATTATTATTATAATTGTAATATTTTATTCTGAATGAATGGAAGAGATCTGTTAATAAACCCCAATCATTAGTATCCTGAATTTATTAGAAACCATCTGAAAAAGTGGGGATTTAATATGATTAATGTAAACGTACCTCTCTCCTACGTTTATCTTCTAAATGCCAAATCATTTCTTGTTGTGTTGCTAACAGAAAATTCTGTCTTTGTTTATATTTCACAAGTACTCTGGAACTAGTCGGAGGACAAAGGTTGAAAGTTAAATTTAGGTGTAACCTGCCACCCTTTGGGTGAGTGGGGATCCATGGCCCACAGCCTGATGAGCCCAGCTCCATCTGTTGTTCCAGGGCTGACCTTACAGAGTAAATAGCAGTGACCCAAACGCTGAATAAACAACAAAGTGTGATGCACACTTGGTCTCAGCTGACTTCTAGCTCACACTACATGTGTGACACCACCCACAGACTCATCATCTGCTGTCTTTCATCTCATAGCACCGTCCATCCACTCAGCCTTTGCCTGCTCTTGCACAATAATATATTGATTTAATTTAATATTACACACCAATGCTGTGTGAGATATATATCAGTGTTGCTGTTTGAACTAATAAATCCTTTAAAAGTGTGATGTGAAGCACAAGAGTTGCATGGCCGGGACTATTTTTAATACTAATTGTATCTTGTGATGCTGCCAAACAAGTAAATCCACTTTCTGGTCAGTAATTACATCTGAATAACATTGTTATCTCAGGGGCTAATTGCTTCAGCACAGATGACTTCAAATGATGAGAGCTTATGACAACGCCCCTTTATTCAGATAGAATTAGTGTCACCAGAACTTACTCGTCCCAGCAATTAGACAAAACACACAAAAATACTGATTCCCTCTGTTCCACAGTCCGGATAGATGCCTCTGCTGAATAATCTGACTGTGTAACAGGGAATCAGTCTTTTTGTGTGTTTTATCTAATTGCTGGTCATATGAGACAGTCTAAATAGAGGACAGAGTCCTGCTGTGAGTAGGTGAGAAAAGCCCCCATTCTTAATTAAAATGGAAACAACAGGATGAAGCTGACCTCAGAAAACGCTCCACTCTCATTTCATTTAAATAAAAGGCAAAAGTACCTGCCTGGATTTCAGAGACTGCCTCGATGTATTTGCTCTCTTGCACTTCCGTGTCATCATGACAGGGAACTGGGATGAAAGTCAGAGAAAGTGATGAATCTGTAATGACTGAGAAAGCAGAGAGCATTTTTCTGGGATGCGGTCGCTTCGCCACTGAGCTAAACTCGATTCTATTCTGGAAATGAAACATGGCCATATTTAAGATTTAGTTCAACCAAAAGCCAAAGCAGAAACAGAGGAGTTTTGCACTCACCTCGAGCAGAAGTGATCCGCTATAAAACTTTACAGTCACCGACCCCGAAACTGCCCCTCTGAGGACCGGATCTGCTCCTGTTCTGGACCACCTGCAGGACTCTGGTCCCACCTTTCGTCCTGTTGCGTTTGCTGCCCATGGGCGGTTTTCCAGCGGAGGATGGAGGGATTATATATGTCATTTCCTCGATTATTTTTTTTTTTTCATAACTGCGCCGGTAAGCCTGGGAAAAGGACACTACAGCACTTTTTTCTGAACATCAAAGTTAGAATTCAGTCCTAGTAAAAGTGTTTATGAATAAAATATCTGGACTACAAATTGAGCGAAAGGGATTCTTTTTGGGAAAGTGTCCTAATTGCTTCCATTCACAATAGAAGACACGCTGAATGTTAAACTGTGAGGAGAGACTGGTTTACCTAATCCAATGACAGCAAACAATCAGGAAAGAGCGGATTTCCTCAAATCCTCTTAAATCACGGTGCAATCAAACCTAAAAGGTAAAAGCAACCAGGTTTCAGTATTCTGACCAGAGCTTTAAAGATCAGTTTCTACTTTAAGTGAGGAAAAACTCCCGATTTATACCCAATTTTGCTATTAAAATTATACAATTTTGTCTTTAATTACTTCCACAAACCTGAGAAATTCAGTCATTCACAGCTGTTGTCAAGAAAAGAAAAGAAAAATAAACTGTAATCCATTTACCAGTTGTGGTAAATCTTTAATAACTTCTCACGTGTTACGGGATATATAAGTTTTAAAGTGTGAGTGTCCTGTATTCCGACACTCTGGGCTGCACGTGAACGCCTCTGTGCTGCGTCACCCGGCGGTTGCCATGGAGATGCGTCCTCAGGCTGAAGCTGAAGCGAAAAGCGGAGCGACTCAGAAACATAAACATGGGCTGAGAAATAACCAAGTTCTGGGGAAACTAGCGACTATGTGGACTCTAAAAGAAGCGTCTCTAGTCTCCCGGCGTCCGGAGAACGGATGACCGGAAACCAGCTCTTCCTGGAGCTTTTCCCGGAGCTTTTCCTGGAGCTTTTCCTGGACCTGGATGTTGGCTCTCACCAAGAATCAAGAGTCTCAAAGGATGCAACTTTTCCAGGACAACTTCTTCTATCATTCGTATCCTGCTCATTTAGTTATAAACTGGATTTATGGGAATATTCTGTGTTTTTATATGAATTTTAGCCCACTGAGGACCACCCTGTAACATCTATTATCTATAAATAACCCCTTTGCGTAACGGTTTTTTCTCCTTAGCCCTTTGCTCTCAGCAGATTTAGACGGGGAAGTGGAGGAGATCTGAGAAACGAGAGGCAGGTTTTGGTGGAAGAGCAGAAGTTATGCAGAGCCCGGGCTCGCAAACTTTCCCTGGAAACCAACAGACGGAGAAAGTCAGTCTATCTCTTCATCCATCTATCCATCCATCTATCCATCCATCTATGTGTCTGTGTCCTTCTCTCTCTCCACCTGTAATCTGTCCACCTCCGTCCTGTCTGTCAAAGTAGTCGCTCCTCTGATGACTAAATCTGGAAAAGCTCACCCCCTTCTTAAGGCTGAATCCCTTACAGACCCTGAATCCCTGCTAAATGTATTTGATTAGAGGCTAAAAGTTACAGGCGTTGTTTTTACCACCCCAGTAAAATCCCTCTTCAGGCAAATTTAGGGCCATCCTTCCTCTAAATATGTCGATTCCACGTTTTCTCTCTTAAAAAATATGTATTCCTGTGTAGATTATTTTTAAAAATGTAACCAAAAGTGATCAAAAGTTACAAAGACATGTTTCCTCAGTGGGTTCATGTTGACTAAACCCTTCAGCTCTGCTTTATCCAGGTATTAAGCACCGGAGTGAACACACACTGCTCTTCTTTAGTTTGATTATCCTCCTTATCTTCTTATCATGCTTTAAAAAAAGGTTGACGTTGACCTAGATTGACCCCGCCGTTCCGGTCGCGGGTTGGTTTTCTCAGCTCACTCCTGCTGTAATTTATTAATGGCTCGGCTGAAAACATATCTGAAGGATCCGAGTCGGGTTTCTCTATCCAAAACGTAGCCGGACTATGTCTGATCAGAATCAGAATCAGAATCAGAATCAGAATAAGGTTTATTGCCAAGTAGGTTTTTAGACTTAGAAGGAATTTGCCTTGGTGTTTGGTGCACAACACAACACTTCTATGAGAAGCAAGGAAGGAAATAAAATGTAGAAATAAAAATATAGAACAGAAATTATAAAACTGAAAAATACAATCTTTAAAAATATAGATCTGAATGTGCAAATGAACAATTGAAATGTGCAATGTTGATGTGCAACGACAGACCAGAAAATGCTGAATGTAATAAATTAGTGAGGATGGGGGGGGGGGGGTGGGTGGGGGTCGCTGGCCTTGTTGATGAGGCCAGTTGCTGCTGGATAGAAACTCTTTATGGCGTGAGGTTTTGGTCCTGAAGGTCCTCAGCCTTCTGCCAGAGGGGAGGGTTTCAAAAAGTTTGTGACCAGGGTGAGAAGGATCAATCAATCAATCAATCAAGTTTAATTGTATAGCCCTTTACAATACCCAACAAAGCCATAAACCATACAAGCCATACAACAAAGCCATAAAACAATACAAAAAAACATACAAAACATACAGAAACAACTAAAAATGCTGTAGTGGTGCAGCGCTGCAGGGCATTAAAAGCCTTCCAGAAGTGCGTAGAAAGGAGCAGACAGAAGGGGTTTGTCTATTGTTCTTTTATTTATTTATTTTTGTTGTTTCTTGTGTTTAATGTGTACAATTTACCAAAATAAAGTGATTGATTGAAATGATTGAAAAAGGAGGAGACCTAAGAGACCCTAGTTCGAATTAAATGCTAATTTAAAAAAGTGGGTCTTAAGCTTTTTTTAAAAAAAGGCTGAGGTCAGTAGTGGTGCGGAGGTCAGGGGGTAGTTTGTTACACAGTCTGGGAGCAGACGTGATCAGACGTGATCTTTCCTGATCGTCTTTGCAGACGCCATTTTTGAGAGGAAGAGGGAAATCCCCCGCCGGCGGCCATTTTGATTGATTCCCATCTTGACTCCTGTGTTTGACATCTAAGGAAGCCTCTTTTTTGGGGTGTGGTGAGTCGCTGGGACTCTGGAGAAAGGACTTTAGCGGGGGGTGTTCTGGGTCTCTGGCAGTGATTTCCCAAACAGCCAATGAGACACCGTCCTGCAGAGGAGTCCAGCTCGCCGTTTTGGGCGTTTGCTTAAAGGATGTGAAGGCCCAGGAGGCTTTGGGGCAGAGAGGGTCGGGCCGGTCCGAGGCCTCTGGTTTTCCCTCCGTGGGTCCGTGCGGTTTTCTCCGGTCCGGTTGATCCTCATCACAGTCAGGAGAAACGGATGAGCTTTGGGATGCGAAAAAGGGGATGAAAAGCTTCTGAAAAACAACTTCCACACACTCCACCCCTGGGGGGCCACTGCCCCCCCCCATGCCTGAGGTCTTTCCCTGCTTCAACACAGCTGATTCCCATCAGGACGCTATTATCTGAACTCTCAGAGCTATCCGTCATATAATTATCTCGGACCAAAACGTCTTTGCAGACGCCATTTTTGAGAGGGAGAGGGACATCCCGCGCCGGCGGCCATTTTGATTGATTCCCATCATGACTCCTCTGTTTGGCCTCCTTCATGGAGGTGGGTTCTTGAAGGGAAGACTCAGGTGCGGAGATGACGGAGAACAAGGTTTATTGTAACAAAAAACAGTCATGAGTGAGTGAATGTCCATACAAAGTACAAATCAAGGCTGTGGAAAACTGTGAGCAAAGTATCAAAGCAATAAGTAAACAAGACTGTGGCAAAGTAACAAAATAAAGATTAACGAAACTGTGACAAGGCTGTGGAAAAACTATGGCAATGGCAAAGTAACAAAATAAAGAACAACAAAACTGTGGCAAAACTATGACTATGGAACAAAGTAAAAGACTATGGCAAAAAAGCTAACCTGGCGTGACGTGGGGGTGACGAAAGACAGACGACGAAAGACGAAAGGACGAAAACGCACTCCCACAAGACAAGGGGAAACGAGGACTATTTAAACACATGAGGGAGGGGAACCCCAAGTGAACACAATAGGTAATCAAGACATGACAACACACCAGACATTCCCCCAGACGTGACAACCACCTTTGGGGTGTTCTGAGTCGCTGGGAGTCTGGAGAAAGGTCTCTGGGTGAATTCACAACGATCTGTTTCCTGTTTCCTCTGCAGGGCGTTGGAGGAGAGGCGGCGGCAGTGGGACGCCCGGGAGCAGCTCCTGAGGGAAAAGCTCCTCCAGAAGCGCCGGCAGGAGGTCCAGGAGGCCACCGAACGCTACCAGAGAGCCCACCTCCCCCCCGCCCAGAGACCCAGGCAGGGTGGGTCCCCAACCCCCCACATAATGGTTCAAATCCGGGGCTACAGTGGGGGAAATAAGTATTTGACCCATTGCTGATTTTGCAGGTTTGCCCACTTACAAAGAATGCTTATTTTTCCTCATCAGAGATTTATCAATTTTTATAAATTCATATGACGTGATTTTCTGGAATTTTCTTTGGGATTCTGTCTTTCACTGTTAGAATGTACATATGATTAAAGTTATAGATCGTTGCATTCTTTGTAAGTGGGCAAACCTGCAAAATCAGCAAGGGGTCAAATACTTATTTCCCCCACTGTATGTTCCCAAAACGGTTGTTTGAATCTTTTGCTTTCTGGTGTTTTAGCTTTACGAAGGGCGGCTGCAAATTTAGAAGAGGCTCTCATTCAGATCCAAGGCAGCGCCTGGCAGCCTTCCCTCTCCTCCAGCAACACAAACTTTAACAGGTGAGACACAATTCTCATACCGGAGTCCAGAAATTAGCCCAATTGCTGCCATTATCTTGTTTAACCCTATAATCCCAAATGCATCATATTTGATTCATACGGTTTCTGAAATGTTTTGCGTCTGACACCTTTTGCATAATTTAATGGTAAAAACTTTGCTCAAAATCCTATTGTACACAATCAGATACACCTGATAACAGGGCGCAGAAGACTACACAATAAATAATCTTGATTTGTTTAACCCGTTAAAGCCTGATCCAAGAATAAAACAAAACAGAAAATTATTATTTTTTGTTTGAATTCCTTATTTGGCCTTTTAACAAAATATGTAAAAAGAAAAAACAAATATACATTTTTAGTATTAATAATTTATTACTATGCGATAAGTCAATATAATTTTTTGTGTACAACATTTCAGAAACCTTATGTATCAAATATGGTACGTTTGGCATTACTGGGTTAAATTATTAATATCAAAAATGGATTTCTGTTTTTTCTTTTTACATATTTTGTTAAAAGTGCCAAAAGACTTCAAACCAAAAAAAAGTTTTGTTTTATTCTTGGATCAGGCTTTAAAGGGTTAATTTTAGTCAGATTGCCCTTGAGACGCCTGGATTTGTAACTATTTGTAACTGAGAACTCAGGAATGGTATTTATATCTTATCTCTTTTTTTATGCAGCGGCGCTCCGTCTCCAAAGCCTCCCACGGTTTGTAGGTCCTCTCACCGCCGGGCGCTCTCCGCTGTGGAGGCCTACACCAAACTGCTTCAGGAGCAGAGCAGGACGGAGAAGTATCGGGATCCCAGTCCAGAGGTAGTTTTGCTCATTCAATTTAACCCTTTAAAGCCTAATCCAAGAAAAATAGGAGGAATATTGGATTTTTTTAGTCCGAAGTCTTTCTTTGGCCCCTCAACAACATATGAAGAAAATAAAACAGAAATTGTTTTTATCAAATTAGCGTGCAATAAGTAAAAAATGTATTTTGGTGTAGTCTTCTACTGGCTGTTATCAAGTATATCTGAATGTGTACAACAGGGGTTTGTCAAAGCTTTTACCACTGAATGATGCAGAAAGTCTCAGATCCAAAAGACTTCAGAAACATTATAGGGTTAAACCTGTGAGATCCCCCCAAAAATACAAGTTCTGTACTGAGATGTTGACATCAGAAGTTCCTGTTTTGTTCCTTAATCACCTAATTCACACATTTTGAAAAACCTTAACAGTTACTTTAGATTATTTTTGTACGTTTTGACTCTGACATCATGTTTATAATGTAATATAATTTCTTCATGTGAGGACCCCAGGAAGATTAGTGGCCATTTTTTTGGCAGCTAATGGGGATCCTAATAAAACTAAACTAAACTAAACTAAGACATCACTTATAAAGGAATTACTGATTCCACAAACTCATTAATGGGACTGACTTTTGCTAAAAAAAAAAATCCTGTTTTATCTAATTTACTTCAACAAAGGTTGTCCTCTAGGGGGCAGTGCGACATAAACTCCATGTAATCAGTAACATAAGTAACCCCAAAAGCTTCCACATCCTCCATCAGGGTTTCAAACAGGGTTTCCATGTTTTCCTGCCTCTACACACCTGATTCTGATTAAGTGGAGCCACAAAAACAGAACTGGGCTCTGAGAGTTCAGACGATAGTGTTGAAGCAGGGAAAGACCTCAGGCATGGGGGGGGGCAGTAGCCCCCCAGGGGTGGAGTGTGTGGAAGTTGTTTTTCAGAAGCTTTTCATCCCCTTTTTCGCATCCCTGTTTCTAGGGCAGCCCCTCGTCAGAGAGCCTGTCGAGCAAGGACAGTTTGGAGAACGAGGACCCAAACCAAAGCTCGTCCGTTTCTCCTGACTGTGATGAGGATCAACCGGACCGGAGAAAACCACACGGACCCACGGAGGGAAAACCAGAGGCCTCGGACCGGCCCGACCCTCTCTGCCCCAAAGCCTCCTGGGCCTTCGCGTCCTTTAAGCAAACGCCCAAAACGGCGAGCTGGACTCCTCTGGAGGACGGTGTCTCATTGGCTGTTTGGGAAATCACTACTGGTAACCCAGAAAACTCCCAGCTAAAGTCCTTTCTCCAGACTCCCAGAGACTCAGAACACCCCAAAGAAGAGGCTTCCCTGGATGTCAAACAGAGGAGTCAAGATGGGAATCAATCAAAATGGCCGCAGGCGGGGGATTTCCCTCTCCCTCTCAAAAATGGCGTCTGCAAAGACGTTTTGTTCCGAGATAATTATATGACGGATAGCGCCACGGAGAATGTGTCAAACGAAGACCCGAAGCCGGAAAAGCTCCAGAAAGATCCCCAGGCCTCCATAAATAATCTCAACAAGGTTTCAGACTCTGTGTTCAGCCCTGAGAAGCCACCACAAGCAGGCCCCCCACCGGCTAACATCCAGTTAGCATCTCGTTCAGCCTGTGAGGTCCGACTCGTTAAGGGGATCCTGAAGAAGCAGTCCAGGTTTGAGTCCAGGTTTGAGTCCAGAGAGGCGATACGGACGTGTGAACCAGACCGTTCGGGTTTCCCAAACCACGTGGCGTTAGCCATCAGAGACAGTGTGGAGCTATCCCGAAATAAAGCCAAAGACCCGAGGGTCAGCAATACGGTCAGGAAGAAGCTGAGATGGTTTGATGAGGTCCATCTGGACCAAGAGGCCGAAGACTTGACCGCGATGCGTCAGATTAAAGGCGGTTTTTATACTCTGAATCCACCAAAACCGAGCCGGACTGCTAACTGCAGCGCTTATCACTTTACAAAAGAGGCCTGGACGGATGTGGGGGTTCAGGTAGATCGGCCCAGGGACCAGGCGGGCGATTTCAGGGCGTCCCGGACCAGAAAGGGCGCCGTCATCCGACCCCAGTCGGCCGGCGAAGTGAGTCGGATCGCCAAAGTCCAGGGGAGGATCGCGGTGCCCCGCCCACCCCCAAAGACGGAAAAAAAGGGTCTCCTCTCACCTCCTGTAGTCCCATCAGACCCCACCACCACAATGCACACAACTCTGCCCCCCCCTGGCTCTCACTGTCTCCCAGAGGAAACCACACTCGTTTCAGGCCATCAAGAGACTGAGATCTGCAGGAGAAGGGGGGTGGCGCACAGTGAGAGAGGACTCTGTCTGACTTGCACGCCCACAGATGAGGAGATTTCTGAGCTCTGGCGTGGCGTCCGCTGTGCTTTAAACACAAAGGACGGTAATGTATCCGCACACCTCTCACACAGCTCCGGATAGATGTTGGATCTGTACACAGTTTGTCTTTGTGGCCTGTCTGTTTCTGAGGCAGAGGATAGCTCATGCAACATGGCCGCCCACCGAAACGGAGCTGGTGACAAAGTTCTTTATCCCAAAAACAAAAAGGCCGTTGTGAATCTTCTCATTTGAATGTAAAAAGGATTTGCATAAAATCCAGCCGGAGCTTCAGATGCATAATGTCTGTGTGACGTCTTCTATGGCTGTTTTAAGATTTTCCCTGATTTCTATCAATAGGATTTGTTTTGGCTTGTATTTGGTGTTTTCCTGTTGATGGAAACTTTAATTTGCAAACGTTATGGCACTGTAAAAAGCACATTTAAAAATCCTACCATCACCTTCAGATGAACAACCGCACGCAGAACTTTACACCATATTATTGATCTAAGACAAGTTGTCTGTGAAAGCTCAGTATAGACTCAGTGTTTCCTCCTGAATTAAGCAGATTAGAAGCAGCCAGGTAATTTCTTCCTTCCCGGAAAAGCCGATTCCCACATTATTTAGAGTCCATCATTGAACTTTGAGAAAGATCATTTAGAAAATGTAGAAACTTTAGATTGTTTCCAGTCTTTACCCCACAGTCGGATCCATTAGAAAAACCCAAGAGCTACATCTCAGACTCTTCCAAAAGGCTTCCAAATTGATTTATTTATTTATTTATTTAATCATGACAGTGCACATTAATGAACAATCTCATACAGATTGTAAATGAGCCAGATTATAGCATAGTTGCTAATTTGCATCTGTTGTCCTGAGGCAGGAAGACAAAACACAAAATCACATAATACAATATCAGTTAAAACAGAGAGACACACGTTCATTACATTTCATGCAAGCACAATTAGAAAAACGTGACTTGTGTCAACTAAAGGTGTCTCAGCTCTGGAGGAGTTCAGGACAGAGTGGAGATATCTGACAGAGTGTGAACGCCTCATACCAGCTGTCAGGCCCAGAGGTGGAGATGCTGATTTGTGCTAGTTCTGCTGCCACAGGGCTAAAGATGTCCACCATCAACCCCCCATAAACCAAACCCTCCACGCTCAAACCCGGGGCCATCTGGCTCAGCTTCAGCCGGCTGAAACTGGATCTGTTTCACATGATCTGGATTGGAGTTTTTCTTCTCTTTCTGTATGTTCTTGCACAGATTTGGTTGTTTGGGTGGTTTTGAGCTAATCGTCTTCTTTCAGCAGGAGCCGCCCACAGAAGGCAAACCCTGGAGAATGGGCGGGTTTTGAGGAAACCCGGTCCTGAACAGGGCAAAGACTCTCCTGGATCAGGCCGTAGACGACTCCCCCAGAGCTCCCAGGTCAGTGGGGTGTGTGTGTGTCTGTGTGTGTGTGTGTGTGTGTGTGTGTGTGTTGG